CCATAGATTACTCCTTCATAACCTGTTGAGAAGGGACATACAGGAGCCTCTGGTACAAGGAAATTTCTCCAATCTTAGAGCCCACCAATAAACTACCCTATACACTCTCAATGCCTAAACGGATTATCGCAAATTTGAGAAGTTTCATTCAGCCTTTAGAGAACATGTTTTACTTATAACCTATTCAGTCATTTTAACTAAAATGTTACAGCTTCCACTAACAAAAAAGAAATAAAGATATAACCTAGATGTATACATGAACAATAAAACAAAAACAAACTAAATTCTACTGGAAACAAAGGACAAAGCCAACAGCTACAGAACTCCTGCAGGCAAAAATAAAGTCATTCAAAAAGCAAATGTGGTAGTTTTAAAATATACCCACAAATTCTTTAATATTCTTCCATGCAAAAGGTGGAAACTAATTCCCCTCCCCTTGAGTGCGTGGGCTGTACTTGGTGATTTTCTTCTAATGAATAGAATGTAATAGAAGTGACAATACATGACTTCTCAGCGGATCGCAAAAGGTACTGCAGCTTCCTCCTTACTCTCTCAGCTTAGTTGTTCTAGAGGGATAGCAGTTGCCTTGTTGTAACAACACTTAAGCAGTCCTCTGGAGAAGTCCATACGGTAAGGATCTGAGACCTCCTGCTAACAGCCATGTGAGTGAGCCACCTTGGAAGTGGATCCTCCAGGCCCCATCAAGCCTTCAGATGACCACAGTTGAAGCAGACATGGTGACTGCAACCTCAAGAGCCAGAATCTCTCAGTTAAAATGCTCCAAGATTCTTGAGCCACAGAAGTTCTGTGCGATAATGTTTATTGTTGTTTCAAGCTGCTGAATTTTAAGATAATCTGCTATGTTAAAATATAGTCATCCCTCAGGATCCAAGAGAAGTTGGTTCCAGGACCTGCTACAGATACCAAAATCTGAGGATTTTCAATCCTATAGTCAGCCCTTCTTATCTGTGGTCCCACATCCAAAGATTTGACTGTGGGTCGTATAGTATGTATTTATTGAAAAATATCTATGTATCAGTAGATCCGTGCAGTTCAAACCCATATTATTCAAGACTCAACTGTAGATACTCAACACACCAATAAACTTTTTAAAAGCTCAAGTGTACTAGGATATTTATTTATCTTATCTACTAAGCATGTGAACACTTAAGTACCAAGCAGAATTCTGCAAACTGGCATATATCTCATCTGCATATGGAAAGAGAAACAACCAGATACATGATTTCCTTTAAAAATAACTAACAAATGAAGGAAACAGGAAAACAAGAATAATGCAAGGTTTTTATTGAGAGGACTGAGGCATTTTTTCCCCAAGGGGGAAAAATAACTCGAATAAAAGTTAAAGTCCTTCTTTTCAAGAAAGGTTACTTTTTAAAAAGTGGTGAGAATGGAATAAAAATGACCAAAGGGTGATAAAGTTCAATGTGCAAAAAGAAACTAACACAGAAATAAGAGGGAGAAAGATGGCATGCAACAGGGAGAATACTGGGAAACTTTATATGAAGATTAAATTTGATGCAGAACTTAACAAAATTTGTGGGTGACTTTAAAGGAAGTTAAAAAGTAGTGTTTGTAAGAGATCTTTCTGGTGTGCTGGAAATGTAACACTGCCATGTTACTCCACAAATCTGCTAAAAATCATTAACTATACTTCAAACAGGCAAATTTTGCAGCATATAAATTTTACCTCAATAAAGCTGTTTTTTTAAGTGGTATTTGTTAGCTAAAGCAAGTAAGGAAAATTATATTACTAGTGTTTCTCTGGCTAAAGCCACGAAGAAAAATATAGTAATTCATTCAACAGACAGGAACATTTTCATAGATTAAGAAATAATGTTTTCATTTCAGCCCAATAAAGGGCAGTATTGTGCCTCTGGGTAACTCTCTACAGACCTTGTTAGGACCAAAAAATCTTACTATCTTACGAGAAAGGCAATAGATTTGGAAATCTTAAATGTGGAATAAGGAGAAGGAACACTTCACTTTATTTCCTACCCTCTAGGAGAAAGTAACAATTTATTCTGATCTCACATTATTGTGTATGCTTGAGACACAGAAATGGTACCTATAAGAAGAAGTTAAGAAAATTTAAAAGGAGAAAATCAAATTTATAATTGTTTTAAAAGAATGTATGGTAATCTCTTTCTTGTAAGGAGATGACAACAGCCCATTCCCTCAACCAGTCAAAACATACACATGGGGAATTTCTGGTATTTTTGGAGATTAATTTGCATTGGTTCAAGGACTTTTGTAGAAGTTTCCCAAAACAGCAGTACTGTATTTTATGTACCCCATTTGCAACTACAGAGATCAAGCAAAACTGCACCTATAAACAACCACAATTCTCATCTGCTTTGAGCTATGAAAATGTTAACCTACTCTGACCCCCCCTGCACCAACTTCAGGAAATCCTGGGTCAAGAGTCTCAACTTTCCAAATCAGCACAGGTGTCTCTAATTTCAGACCTGCTAGTCTCCTCTCTGACTTTGGCTAAATCAGTAGCAAGCCCAGAAAATAAAACCAAAAAAAACTCTACTAATTCATGTAGGTATTTTCCTTCTTCCCACATGAAAGAATGTTCTATTAGAATCATATATTGACAGATGTTATTTCATTTGTGCCTGTCTCCTAAGTGGCTATGATAAAGGTCAAAATAGTTCAAGATAGTGATATTCATAATATTATCCACCTAGACTTGAAAAATTATAATATATAAACAAGCAATTCTCCAAGGAAGAAATACAAATGATCAATAGGCACATGAAAAAATGCTCAATATCACTAATTATCAGAGAAATGCAATCGAAACTATAATGAGGTATCACCTCACACCAGTCAGAATGGCCATCATTCAAAAGTCCACAAATGACAAATGCTGGAGAGGCTGTGGAGAAAAGGGAACCCTCCTACACTGCTGGTGGGACTGCAGTTTGGTGCAGCCACTGTGGAAAACAGTATGAAGATTCCTCAAAAGACTAGGAATAGACTTACCATAGGACCCAGGAATCCCGCTCCTGGGCATATATCCAAAAGGAACCCTACTTCAAAAAGACACCTGCACCCCAATGTTCACAGCAGCACTATTTACAGTAGCCAAGACATGGAAACAGCTTAAATGTCCATCGACAGATGACTGGATAAAGAAGATGTGATATATTTATACAATGAAATACCATTCAGCCATGAAAAACAACAACATAACGCCATTTGCAGCAACATGGATGTCCCTGGAGAATGTCATTCTAAGTGAAGTAAGCCAGAAAGGGAAAGAAAAATACCATATGAGATCGCTCATAAGTGGAAACTAAAAAAAAAGAAAAAAGAACATAAATACAAGACAGAAACAGATTCACAGACATAGAATACAAACTTGTGGTTCCCAAGGGGGCGGGAGGTGGGAAGGGACAGACCGGGATTTCAAAATTTGTAGATACTGACAGGCATGTGCAGAATAGATAAACAAGATTATACTGTATAGCACAAGATCTTGTGGTAGCTCACAGTGAAAAAAAATGTCACAATGAATATATGCATGTTATTGTATAACTGAAAAAGTGTGCTCTACACTGGAATTTGAAACAACATTGTAAAATGACTATAACTCAATAAAAAAGTTAAAAAATTATAATATAAATGAACTTTACATATTTCAATAAATGAACAAACTGTGAAAGTTTACTATACCATGCCTAACCTTTAGTAGACACTCAATAAATGTTAGTTCCTTTCTTTCCTTACAGTATTTACATAAAATAGTTCCTTTCATCATTACCACAATATAAAGCAGAATGATAGAAAAGGATGATTTCCTGACTAACCACCCAGATCAGACTGAAAACTCAGGCCACCAGATGATGATGAAGAGACTGATTTGCAGAAGCTGAACTTTAATCTACTCTCTCCACCTCCCTTCCTAGGCAGCAGTGTCAATTCCAAGGACCATGTTCCTTCTGCGGTAGGAAGGGGCTCAATCGTTTTTCCCTGGAGCAATGTATTAATGGTTCCTGCTCTTTGTGACTGAGAGAAGGCCAGTCTCAAGAACCTATTCTGTTCTCAGTGCAGGTGTAGCAAGAGTCCAAAGACTGTCACCAACCCATAGAATCCCATGCACAAGTTCGCAGGATTCCTGGCTGGAGGATTGTGGGGAGTGCTGCCATTCATTTTTTGGCTACCAACTTCACTCTCCAAGTGATCCAAACTTCCTGCACCAATGAACAATGGGGTCTCCACACACCTAAGATCATGGGAACCAAAAACGACATGAAGTAGCACTAACCTCTACTTTGACAGGAAATGTTCTGCCAGAAGTAGGTTGCAGAGCTGTGTGAAGCTGCCATCTCCAGCTCTTTTTTGTGGGCATCTGACATAAGACAGACATATGAGCCAAAGTCATATCTGGTGTACTTTTGTTCAGGCTCTGGAGCTTAAGATAGGAACACAATCATGCTGTGTCAAATCAAACTCTAGTGGTTACAGATGGACAGACTGTGTCATCAGTAACAAAATTTATAGTTGTCAGTGATGGCCTGGCTACTGTCAAGACAGGCCCTTTGATTGCATTTAGTCGACCAATCACATAAGCTACTGAATTTTAGTGATCAGAAGAATTAGCTAGCCTGTCACCTCTCACTACCCCAAGCTGGTTTACCTAATGGCTCCAACACAAGAACTTCTGTCCTCTAAGGATTGGATCACAGGGTGTGCGTGTGTGTGTGAGAGAGAGAGAGAATTCATGGTTCTGTTCTATGATTACCAAAATTTTAAATAGGTTGTGCTGTTTCTTGGCATTCAGTACCTTCTGACAAGTTATTACATGTGACCACAACATTAGATACCTGGTGACAGACCATAATAGGGCCATGATGAGTGTTTCCCTAAACAATAATAAATTCTGATTTATTCTAGTTCAGTAGAACCGAAAACACTAACAAACACCTTAGAAAAGGAGGCAGGAAAGAGTAAATAAACCAGGGACCTACCTTGTTTACAATTCCCACAGACAGATGAAATTCAATTCCATGCCAACCATACCCTTCGACCACTAAAACACAAACAGAAAAATAAAAGTTCATGCAATATAAGCAGTTCTTCCAGTTCCTAAAAGGTATTTGGTTTCAAAAGTAAGAAACTGTTTCTTATCTGCTTTCTGTCCTTTTCATGCTCACAACAGTAGCTGAGCTGTCACTGGCAAAAGCGCCCAGATATGTGGAGTTAAAGAACAGGTAACACTAACTGAACACTTACTATATATGCTAGGCACTATTCTAAGAGCTTAAATGTACTAACTCAGATAATCCTCACAACAACCCTATGAGCTACTCTCATCAACTCATTTTATATTCAAATGACAACAGACTTATACCTCTGAAAGTTGCTCTTACTGGTATTAAGAAATCCCTTTTAAATAAACCCAGGCAACCTCAACCATTGCAGCTGCACAGTCTCAGTGGATAATATCTATAAATGTTCCATATTTATCCAGTCATTATGTATTTCTTAAGGTCCCTGGTGGTCTGAGCACTATACCAGGTGCTAAACAGGATTCATTCTCTGCCCTTTAGGAGTTGAAAAGCTAGTTGAAGAGATCAGAGTAAACGCCAAGAAATGGTTCAAGAAATTGAATGCCCTATGATGAGGTACGATCTCTTTGTGCAATCATTCAGTAAAAAAAAAAAAAAAATCAATAACCTTTGGGAAAAGGAAAGGAAAGCTTCACAGAAGAGATGTCCTAAAGCTGGACCTTTAAAAATAGGTTACATTGGCAAAGAGAGGAGAAAGGTTCTTCAGGCAAGGAAATGAGAACAAAACTATGGTGGTAGGGACAGACAGACCGCACCTGAGGTCCTTCATAATCTGACCCCACCCAGTCCTTAGCCTTGGCCACTGATCTCCCTCCCCATCCCCAACAGCCACACCAAACTTCTTACTTCGAGGACACACAATCTTTGACAGCTCCATTGTTTCTCCTATTGCCTGGAATGTCTCCCCTCCTTTTCCCTGATGGGTAACTTTAATCCTAGAACACAGCAGGCACTCAATAAAACATAGCCACTATTGTCAATAATTTTTATTATTAAGATCCAATTGCAACATTTTTCTAAAGCTTTTTCCAATTCTCTAGAGTTAATCCACTCGCCTCTCTGCCACACTTGCATGGCATTTGTCCTTTTCTCTATTAGAATGGTAAAACATTCTACTATCCCCAGCTTTCCTTTTTTCTCTCTTGCTCATCTGAACAGGAAACATCTTTTATACAACTCTATAGCCGCCAAGACTTAGCACAGTGTCCGGCACATGATAGGTGCCCATTATACACTTGTTGACTACAGGTCCAACTGACTTGAACTTACAAAATGAATCACGAAGGGATTCCTCTAAAAAGTCAGCTCCTTTAGTACATTTGAACAATTCAGACTGTCAAAATCTAACGCACTTTTATATTTTCATGAGTATGTCTGCTACCTAACAACACCAACAATTCACACACAAAAATGTCAAAGTGGATTCACCAAACACTACCAACTGACTAGTTTCTGCCTGACAACAAAATGAGGTCCTCATCCATGCCAATGGAGACAGGAGAAATTAACTGAATTGATAATTTAGATATTGTGGCTGGTGACCTTTCCCACTGAAACGATGCCACAGCTTTGTATGCAGTATGTACGTTTAAACGGGTATTTATATTGGCTTTACTCATGGATTGTAGAGGTTACAAATTTAGAAGTCCAATCATAAATCCAAGGTTTATTTATAGAAACTTTCCATATGGTAAGAGTTTAAGAAGTAAAACAGCAGCCTTTTCCTCTGCCGAAAGCAGGAGGTAGCAGAGTGCCAAAGGGCCAAACCCTCTCTCGACTCTGCTCTTGGCACTGCTTAGAGCAGAGGAAGAAATGTGCAGGGCAAGCAGGAGCCTCACTGAAAATCAGTCACACTGGGCAACAGGCATTTTGAATGTCTGTGTTATTCAAGGCTTAGGTATTAATTTTATACATGCCCATGTTCATTTAAAGCACAATTTGTGGCTTGGAACTTAAAAAATGCTCTAATGTGCTAGTTTGTCCACATGTTAATCGAGTCAGCCAGGTTTGAACATGCCAAGCTTAAAATACTCTCTAGATCGTTATGCAAAGGTATGAGCTCAATCCTTTATTCTCGTGAAAAGGAACTTAGTCAGGGGAGGATGACTAAAGCAGCAGTAGTTCAATGAAAGCCATAAAAGAACAAGTCAACTCCTAAATAGTGATGAGTTACTTTTTTAAAATATCTGAATAGAAATAGGATACAAGCTAATGACACATTTCTTACAATTATTAACCTCAAAATGAGATTCTGGTTTTTTAGATCCAAGTTGTCAGAGAATGTATTTTTAAATTGATTTCTACATGAGATCATCTCATAAAAAGGTTGTTTTAGTCGTCCACTGATTAAACCTCTTCAGAATCCAAGTTTAACTTACTTTTTATTGAAATAAATTATGTTTTTATATGAACAGTATTATAAGCAAAGTCTTCTTAAATCTTTTATCAGCTTTAGAGAAATGCCAATGAATGACTAAATTTAAACCTCAGAAGCTCACACATCCAATTCCTTCAATTTCAGTAGGGGAACCAGAGCAGAAAGGGTTCAGTGACTTAATAACAAGGAAGATCAGGACCAGAATCTGATTAGAAATCCCATGTATTTTATTCCACTACCTGTTACTAAATACACTGTCTTATTAAGGCAGAAAATGTTTTAGAAACTACAACAGAAGAAAGTTTAAATTCCTATACCCATTCCCCTTGAAAAGAATTTAAAAATTAGATGTGTATGCCCTGGAGATTTGGAAATGCTGCCTGTTAAGAACTTGGGCAGTAGGAAATCATAGCAGTTATTTTCAATACTTTTGGCTCAATACCTATTTACATAGAATCTTTGCTGGAAGCTTAGCTTTAAAAATTTTTTCTTACATTCCAAAGGGGATGGGAATAATTTTTATAGTCTAAGATGACATTACCCTTATCTTCTAAAAAATAAACTCCCCACCAATAAATAAGCAGTTTCACAGAATTCAGGGTCTTCTTTCAAACAAATATTTCTTCTGAAAGAATGCTAACTTGGGAGGAAAGAGATGCAAAGAATAAAAGGAAAGTAACAAAAAAATGTAATGGAAAGGGAAAAAAGGAAAAGGAGGAAAGAGGAAAGAAAATCAACAAAAAGGTTTGACTCTGATATCAAAAAAGGAGAAAAATAATTCTGAATTAAATGAATGAACTATAGTTTATTAGCATCTACAGGGTATGGTTACAAACTCCTCAAACTGAACATCTAAAAATAAGCTTAATCTCATTTTGCCTGATTCCTCTATTTGCTCTTTCTTCCACTTCCCAAAGATAGAGCATTTAGTGGATTGGGCCTCCCGGAGCACGCAGGGGAATCAGAAATGCCAGTCCATGCAGACCCCTCAAAGTGCTGGAGCTATTAAGAATCTCTAAAGGTGAGTCAAGAAAGACCACTGTGTTCCCAGATGTGTCTATAACCTCCTTTAGAAGAGACTAGAAACCTGCACAGAGCAATATACCCTGTTGCCTTTCACATGCACCAAAAACCTTTCCTTTCAGATTATCACTTTAACTTTGAACAGAGATTTTAAATAATAGTTAACATAACATTTAATTAAGGTGACAAGGGGGGAAAAGAAGCAATACCATATGTACTATACACATTATACTTTCTTTGTATAGATATACTATATAATTATATACTACATACATACATACATACATACATACATACATATATACTACAGACGGAGGGAAATTAAGGAAGACCTATGTAGCCCTGCTGGTCAAGCTAGCTGCAGCATTCAACTGAACACGTGCTTGGTAAGGCACTAGAACATGCACAACACTTTACAAATAAAAAACTAAAATCTCAAATCCTCCACTCATAAGAAATTTCCAGCTCCATCAAAGCTCTCCGTTTCACCTTCCTCTGCCAGCACCCCATACCAAGCCATGGAAGCATCTCGCATTTCACTGTGTATTAAGACCAATGTCATAGTTTCAGACAGGCAGATATAGCTATCACTTTTTGAAAAGGCAAAGCAAAATCCACTTTGACAGTTTCTCAGGGATTTGAACATCCATTCTCTTATGTGATTCTCCTCACACTGCAGAGTGGTATTTGCAGAGGTGATGGGTGGAGAGTAAACCGCAGGAAAGCCTCTATCACAATTGGGCTCACAGAGGAATCCATTTGTTCTAATCTCAGACCTGATTCAAACACCTCTGCAGCTAGTCTTAAACAAACATTTACACTCCTGTTTTCTCAAAGTAAAATGAACAATTTTTCTATTATTTCTTGCTTTTTCCCATACAAGTTATTTTTTTAATAGGTAATACGTAACTATGGTTTAAAAAAAAAACCAAGCAGTACAATGAGTATAGAGTGAAAAGTAAGTCTGTTTCCCACCCAGTGCCCTAGTACTCCTTTCCAGAAAGGATTTCAAGTTTCGTGTAAGTTAACATTTTCTTAATGACTAAATCACTCTCCCATGCTTAGAAATGTGACTGCAGGACAAGGAGCTGAATGACTTAGCTGGTTACTGCACTACCAGAGAGAGCACATCTCCACCATTGCTGAAGTCTGAGCATCTGTGCAGGAGACCAGCCTTCGGGATGGCACGGTACATCTGTGTCCTCCCTGTACCTACCCCCACTCGCATGCAAGCACAGCTAGCCACACCCAAAGGAGAAGGTTCTTTTGTGTGTGTGTATGTATACTAAAATACACATTATATAAAATTTATCATTTAACCATTTTTAACTGTACAATTCAGTGGCATTAAGTGTATTCACAATGCTGTAGAACTATCACCACTATCCACTTCCAAAACTTTTTCATTATCCCAAACAGAAACTCTGTACTTATTAGACAGTAACTGCTCACTTTCCCTCCCTCCAGCCCCTGGTAACACTATTCTACTTTCTGTCTTTATGAATTTATCTGTTCTACGTACTTCATATAAGTGAAACCATACAATATTTGTCCTTCTGTGCCTGGCTTCTTCCACTTAGCATAAGGTCTTCAAGGTTCACCCATGTTGTAGACTGTAACAGAATTTCCTTCTTTTCGAAGGCAGAATAACATTCTATTGTGTGTACATACCACATTTTGTTTATCCACTCATCAGTGGAGAGACCCTAGATTGCTTCCACCTTTTTATTGCTGTGAATAACGCTACTGTGAACACTGGTGTACAAGTATCTGTTTAAGTCTCTTCCTTCAATTCTTTTGGGTATGTGCTTAGAAGCAGGATTGCTGTATCCTATGGCAATTCTGTTTAACTTTTTGAGGAACCACAAAATTGTTTTCCATAGGGGCTGCACCATTTTACACCAGTGATACACAGGGTTCCTGTTGCTCCCCCTCGCAGTTTTTTTGGTAATAGCCATCTTAATGGATATGGAGTGGTATTTCAACATGGTTTTCATTCGCAAATGAGAGGGGTTTTGTATGTATGGTTTCAAAGCATTTTGCATTGAAGGTGTTTCTGTGGCGCTGGTCCATCTCTGACATACAAGGAAGTGTCTTATGTTCTGACTCTTCACCATGGTTCTCAAGAGTCTACCACTCACTCAGTGCACCAGTCACTTCAAATCTTGCACACCCTGACTCCACTCTGCCTTCTCTCCATGTCTTAATATCCTTTCACCTATGCTTTCTGGCTTCCTTCTCAAAAAAAAAGTTGATCTATTTATAACCAGGCCATTGCTAGTTTAATCAACACACTCTTCAATTTCTGGAAGAACTAACTACTCACAGTACTTTTGGCACTTTAGGTCCTCTCAGGAATTGTCAACAAGGCTAAAACGTTCTCTCTTGACTATCTAGGGTACTTGCTTTTTGTTTTTCTTGGTTTTGGGTTCAGAACCTTTTTGGATGCTTGAAGATGACAGAAAGTTGATCTCTAAATAACCAAATTACCATATGTATTTTCATGTCTAAGTCCACCTGCACTTAAGCAGAGCTGGCAGATAAATAAAATACATTAAACTTCTCACTTCTCAAGAAGAACACAACAAAGATAACAAAACTTAAAATATTTTTATTAGAATCCCACAATAAATTGTTATTCAACTATCAACAGTGCCTGGAACATGGTAGGCCCTTGATAAATATTTATTGAATGAATGGTTTAAGGAGATGACACGGCGCAGAGAAGGTAGGCTTTGGAGCCAGATCTGGATTTGTATGTCAGCTCCTACCTTTCTTAGCCACATGATCTTGGGATAAGTTTCTTAGCTTCTTGAAAGAGAAGCTAAGAAAATAGATGGCGAATATCACCTATCTTTCAGAATGACCATGAAGAGATGTCACTGGTGGCATACTCAAATGTATGAACTGCTTTGTTGGTATTGGCTCTAGGTACTGCAAAAGCACAAATTTAAGCAAAAGAAACAATTCAATAGTTCACAACTCTTTTATGTATTTATTCAACACTTAGAGATGGCCCACTATGTGCCTGGCACTGCAGTTGCAAAAGATACATTGGTGATCAAGACAGGCAGATCCCGGGGGGAGGGGATAGCTCAGTGGTAGAATGCATGTCTACCGTGCATGAGGTTGTGGGTTCAATTCCCAGTACCTCCATTAAAAAAAGTAAGTAAAAACTAATTACCCCCCACCCCAACCCCGCAAAAAAAAAAAAAAAAAAAACAGCTCTCTGCCCTCATGGAGCTGATATTCTAATAGGGAGAGTAGATAATAAAATAATAAATCAAATACGTGAACTATAAGATCTTAAAATATAATTAATATTTTTAGGGGAAAAAAGGAAAGGTAGATCAGAATAAAGGGAATCAGAAGTGTTGGGGGCAGAGGAGTTATAATTTTTAAGTAAGATGATTAAATGACTGAGAAAATGACACTAAAGCTAAGATTTGACAGCCAGGAGAGATTTAGCCATTCAGGTATCTAGAGGATGAACATTTCAGAGAGAGGAAACAGCCAATTCAAAGGCCCTAAGACTGAAGCAGGACTGCCATATTCAAGGAACAGTAAGAAAGCTAGTGTGGCTGCAGCAGAGTGAGCAAGAGGGATACAGTAAGTGAGGTCAGAGAAGTTAACAGAAGACCAGAAAATACAAGGCCTTACAGGCTTGTACTCAGAGTGGAATGGGGAACCACTGCAGGGGAGCCACTGCTTTTGAACAGAGGAGTGACATGATCTGGCAGGTATAAAAAGAATGCTGTGTTGAGAATTAAAGGAAAAGGTAGAAGTTGGGAGATTGGTATGGAGGTACTAAATTAATCCAGGCAAGAGAGGACACCGGCTTGGACCACAACAGAAGCAGCAGAGGTGGGGAGAGGTGGTTGATTCTGGATATATTTTAAGGTAGGCCCGGTAAGTTTTCCTGGAAGACTGGATGAGGGGTATGAGAGAAAAATGAGAGTCCAAAGTTCTGATCAGAGCAACTAAAAGAGTAGAGTTGCCATCAAATAAGACAGGAAAAGCTACAGGTGGGGAAAAAGTTTAAAGAAGGAAACAAATAGATCTCTTTTAGTTTTGTATATATTGGTTGAGATAGTTGACTTTCTAACATTTCCAACAGGTAAATAGGGTCAGATTGATGAAATAATGGTTTTTAAAAACATTTCCATTTTACTTTCTTGTAATATACGATAAACTGTAGGTTAGTCTGGCCTAGACTCTGAAGTTTTATAACAAATTAATTTTAGCAGTTACAATATACAGGAAAAAAGGAATACTCATAATATACTTTGATGATGCTTCATTCCCAGTAACTGACTGCATCCTTTAAATCCTGAAAATCAAGAATGAAATCCATTCTACCTCACAGTCATAGGTAGGGGGTCAAATCTCAGTAAATGAGGAATAAATAATAAAAGACAATGTGCTCCTTGCATCTGTTACCAACACTAAATTCTTCATGCTAACAGCAGCTGGAGGATTCCCGTGATCCTAACATAATCATCATCTTCAGGCTTACATACTCTTCTTGTTCTAAACACAATTTGTTTCTCCTTCTGTTCCCCAGAAAGTCCCAAAAGAAGAGAATGGTCCAGAGCCTGGGAACAAATGCACCTAGAGAGGAGAACAATACAGAGAGGAGCCTACACACAACCAGCACTGTTTCCACATTCAGGGTCAAGGCCATTGGAGAAATCGCAAAATCACACCATCTCAGGGTTGGAAAGGGATCATCATGTGTCAACAAATATTTTCCAAGTGACCATGTGCTAGATGCTAAGGATACACAGATGATTATGACAAAATCCCTATTCAAGGCATTGTGTGCTAAGTACTTTACTAAAGAAATTAACTAAGGGTCATGGGAATACAAAGGCAGGAATAAAAGAGTAGATTTTCAAAATAAATTGCCAAGAATTAACACGGGGATCACCACATCCACCATCTCCTACCAATCTTACATACAGAAGACTCAGGTGGTGATTCAGACCAAAGAGAAACCAACACTGCAGTCCTCTTAGAATCAGGGTCCTATTACCTTACGTGGTTGGTTAAAGAAACATCTCCCTTTCATTTCTCCCCTCCCCCCACACACACAAACTAAAATCAAGAGAAAACACTGTTCTAGTCCAACCATTCACTCAGTGCCAATCTCTGAATTTTTACAAGATAGTACTTAAGCCTTTAAAATATTTGCTGAAAGAAAACAGTGCCTCCTCTTCCTGTCCTAAAGGAAATTTTATTTCACGTAGGCTATCTACAGATGTCTAGGTTACAACTTTAACTTCTAGAATAAAGCTAACCATAACCACTTCCAAGCCATGTGACTTCCTCTGGCCCAAGTTCTAACCCCTCCACCTCCCCAGGCTTAGGAGTCTTTCTAGCTCTGACACTCTTTTCACTTTACTGCTAATTTTGACTCTCAGGAATCCAGCCACAATGTATCATGGGAATCCATTAATCCACAGACCATATTTCATCTTCATTTCCCAGACAAAATCTCAAAGGCCTGTAATGCACAGTGTCAAAAGTATCATCTGTCTCTATACATCTCTAAAGGAAAAAAACTTATCTCTGACTTACGCGTTTTTACTTATTGGTAATCACTCTCTATCCAACAGAAACGTACTTCACCATAACATATTCCAGCAAACTGCTGCTATCTCAGCAATTACAATGGAGTATATGTGCTCAATAGTGAGTCAGGCTTGGGAGTGGTTTAGCACATGGAAATTCACCAGCTGGGATCTACAATTAGATTCAAGGAGGCAAGTGGAATTTTTCTATCAGGTTTTTCCAAGAGTTAACTAGTTCTTAAATTGATTATACCTCTCTGAAGTATTTACAGATGAAATTATATAATGTCTGGGACTTGTTTTTTAAATATTAAGGTGGAAGAGGGGAGTAAGGTTAAATAAGATTGGCCATGTGTTAATAATTGTTGAATCTGGATGATAGGTTCATGGTGGTGGTTCATTTTATTATTCTCTTTACTTACCCAGGTGTTTGAAAAAGTCTATAATAAAGATTTAATTTCTAAAAAAAATTTTAACTTATATTATGATCTGGTTAACTTGGAAAACAAAATGATTCTCGGAACCAATGAGCTCCATAATCTACTAGAATAAAAATTGTTCATTACTTATGTATATCTTGATTCTAACACTCATTTCTCACTGAACAAATATTTATTGAGCACAACTAGAGCAGATGCCTGGCACCAACCTGAGTACTGAGGATACAATGATAAACTAAATTCTCTCTCCCTCAAGGAACCCAGTAAGGAATCTGCTTTATGAAAGAGGCAAGCAGTGGTGTCACAGACCAAACAAGAGGGAGATCTAATCCAACTCTGGTCAATCAGGAAAAGATTTCCAGGTACCACCTAAGTTAATTCTGAAAGACTGAACCCAGAGAAGCAAATCATTTTTTCCCCATGTCGACCTTTATCATCTTACAGACTGTCAGATCAGCAAGAAAATGCCTGTTCCTTTATGAAACAAAGTATCTATTTCTCTATAAAGCAGAACTGAAACTGTCATTTATTCAACAAATATGTATTAAATACCTATCACGTGCCAGCATGTGCTAGACAAAAAAGATAAAACACGGTCTCTGCCCTACTGGGGTTTACAATCTCAGAGCGTAGAAAGACAAAACAAGTAAGGAAGCCCATCAAGCAGAAAACTAATTACAAACTTCACCAAGTTACAAAGAAAACAAAGAGAAAGAACTTTGTGGGCAGAAAGTATCCACTTTTTAAATAAGGTGCTAAGGAAGTTGAACAACTGAAATAAGACCAAGGGATGATAATGTAACTGACTGAAGGGGAAAGGGACGCAGGACCAGGTAGTGAGATGACCTCAGATAAAGCACGCGTGCAAGGTAGGTCATAGGAAGAAATCTATTTTACTCTAAACGGAAATGGTTGGAGTTGACGGTTTTAAGCAGAGAAGTGACATGATTCAGTTCATATTTTTAAGATCACTCTTGCTACTCTGGAGAGAACAAGATTGGAATAGAACAATAAATTTTGCCTAGAGGAATTTTAGATGAGTAAAACCAAAACACCAAAACCGACTTCGGCCAATGAAAATCATCTTTGCATTCTGTTACCAATCTAAAATCTTTTAAATTGCCCTACTTAGTCCAGGCTTCACCTACAGTTTTGTTTTGTTTTTAACGCTTACTACCAATGGTCATGATCTCTGAGGCACTCTGGGAAGCTGAAACAAGCCCAGATGCCTCGGGGTTAGCATTTTTCTCATTCTCTAATTGCCGAAGTCAGATTAATTTTCATTTACTCATCTCCTAATCCACAATCAGCTTCTTGACTGAAAGGTAAGGAGTAGGGAACTTCCTCAAGTTTTTCAGGCAACAATAAGCTATACTGAACATCTGATAAGGAATGCGATTGCACAACCTTTCTTATTGCCAACTATGTTCCAGGTGGGAACTCCACTATGAAAGCAATTCTAATTTTCCTGTCCAAGTTGGCTAGATCTCAGAAAGCTGCCTAAAGCATACCCATTTAATTCTGCTTTTAAAAAAGTTTCCTCATTCCAAAGTCTAAACAAGAATAAATTTCTAACAGCTTTTGTAATTGATAAGGAAAAAAAAATAAATTCCATTGTCAATCCCTGGGCATGCGGCTAAGCAATCTTCCTAAAGGCACTAACAAACTAACCTACACTCGAAGAGATTTTACTCAATTATTTGAAAAAATAAGAATGGAAGGAGGAGCGACAGTCTTTGAAGCTTTACGCACATCATTTCACTAAACCTTGATATTATTCCTAC